CCTCCTCTAGAGGTCGATCGAAAAAACACCCCACCCCTATAAAATATTCCCCCCTCCCTAAAATATTTAATTGTTCTTGGCATTGTTTTTTTTCAAAGCACTGTTTAATAACTATATTCCAATAAGATTAGAAATGCTTATGGATATATCGGGGATTTGGAGGGATATAAGGGGATTCTGTTGGATTAAATGAGCCCCAAATCCAGGGAGTATTTACTCCAAATCCTTTTTTAGCCGTAAATCCATTGTATCCCCCTTAATTCACTACAATTCCTCTTAAGCCTCCCAAATCATCAAAACGATCTACCTCTAATTCCTCCACATATACTACGAAGATTACTCAATCGTCGCGGACTCAGCTGAACTGTTCCGATAACGATAAATAATAAATTATATACTATAGCAAAAATCTTGGTTATCCATATCGAAATTTTAAGAAAAATAGAAAAAGTCAAAAATGGACAAAAAACTTTTTTGTCAAAAAACTTTTTTGTTTTTTGACAAAAAAAATGGACAAAAAACTTTTTTGTTTTTGTTATACGGAGTGTCAGCCGATCTTTGATCGACTATAACCTTTTTGGGCTTGATCCAATTCAAATGAAACTTATATCGTTCAAAAGCCCTTGATAAACGGTATTTTTTCTAAAAGGATGGATCATCACTCAGTAAAAAGTTCTGATCCGATAAGTCAAGTTATTTGGTGTTTTTCGCATTTATCGGGTCAGAACTTTTTAATGAGTGATTAGACTTGATCCATCCTTTTAAAAAAGGATATCATTTATCAAGGGCTTTTGAATTATGCATATAAGATTTATCTAAATCGGAGAATGCCCAAAGACGGTATAGCTAATCGAAGACCGGCTGACACTCAGTTTGCGGTCGTATAGCGGAAAAGTACCCATAATCTATCTGAACCTATTTTATTTTTGTTTAATATTTAATTAACTGATTACTGATTATTTTTCAAGATAAGTAATGAACTTATTGAAATTATATTTATTCCTCCCATTGATTCTGATATTGTCACAATTCCAAGGTAGATTCATCCTTTACATAATTTCATATTTGTAAATAAATTAAAGAAATATGTGCCAAATGCAAACCTTTATTCGGATTAATTTCTGTAAAGTGTTGTCAATGTGGAGAAAATAAACTCATCAATTTAACAAAATCTATGACAATAGATCAAGAAATTCATTTGAAATATAAAATGGATTTTAAATCAAAACTTGGAGCTGGATCATTTGGAAATGTAAATGAATCTTAATTTAATAATCTCCAGATTTTTTAATTTTTAAATTATAATAAAATATCATAAGTTCAAAAACTAGATTAATCTTTTGATGAATTAGCTTGTAAAATTTAAATAACGTTCATGATATTTTGATAATGTATGCATAAAAAGTTTTAATTTAAAGGTATATCACGCATATTGGAAAGAAAAAAAGCAGTGTGTTGCGTTGAAAAAGCTTCAGAAAAATGAAAATAATTTTTCTGAAGTAGATAATGAAATTAAAGTGCATGAATATTTTTCTAAATTGCCAGAAGAAGAAAGAACTTCCATTATTAAAATGATAGGATTGTAAGTTCGAAACGTACCTACAATTGGCGAGGGGAATAATAGATCCCTTTAGGGTACACCCCAATGTACCGCGAGGCCAACGTACCGCAGAGCTATAATTTCGTTCAAAATGACTGAATCCGGGACGCCCTGATATGGTTAGATTTAGCCGTCGTGATGCATCAAACCATAACAAGGCGTCCCGGATTCGACTATTTTGAACGAAGTTATAGCTCTGCGGTACGTTGGGCTCGCAATACGTTGGCCTGCTCCCATCCCTTTGCCAATATAGATACGTTTCGAGTATATTTTTAAGTGAGAATGGACAGATAAAAACGAAAACCAAAGTGAATATTGTTTTAGAACTTGGTGGACTGAATTTATTAGATTATTTTAGACAAAAAGTCGAAGAAGATTATAGTTATAAAGAGAGTATACACGAAGGAATTATAAAAAATATGCTTAAATGTGCTGCACTAGCAATTGAACAATTCCACAAACGTTGGTATTTTATTGAAATTTTTGTAGGGTAAAACCGAAGAGTGAAATGCTCATACTTTTCTCAATTATATTCTTTTTTAATTTTGTACATTTATTTAAGTAATAATTTTGTAAACAATTTTAAAACAATATATTAATTGTCTAAAAATTTAGATGGCATTCATTTGGATATTAAGGCAAACAATTTCGTTATACCCCATGGACATAATCTTGATGCTCCTTTGGAATTATGCAAATTGATAGATTTTAATTATTCTATTATAACAAAGGAAAATGAAGTCGAAAAACAAGGAGTATTTGGTACTAAACCATATGTACCTTTCAACTTTTCTGTAAAGCATATGTTTAAAGTAAATGTATTTTTAATTAAATTTCATATTAAATAATTATATAAAAAATATGAATTTTTATTAGTTAAGTAAATCAACTAAAATATAATTAAAAAAACAAGCCTTGACTTAGCTGACAACCTTTTTAGTAATTAAAATTTTCCAAAATTGTATACAAAACATAAAACTATAATTTAGTCAATTTTAATATAATTTAAGTGTAAAATTCAATATTTTAGGTTTCCCGTGAAGTTGACATTTATTCATTCGGTGTAATGATTTACAAGTTTATGTTTAGCCCTCAATATGTTATGGACAAAATTGAAAAAGAAAAGTTTGGCCAAGGAAGTTTGGATAGACTTGCAAAGGTATTTTTTTTTCTTTGTAATTTAGTAACAAAAACAATTTAGTATTTAAATCTATTATTTACAAAACAATATAACTTATTTCAATAATTTTTGAAAACATTAAATTCTGAACTAAAGAACTCAAAATATATCTTAAAACTTAAAATAGTTTTATTATTCTTCACCTAAAATAGCAAATTCTTATAGAATATAGATTTTCTTATTTTAAAAAATGTAGAATTTCTAATCCCTCAAATTTTTAAACAAAAAAATACTTTAAAATTTAAGGCTTGTTTGCAAGGTAATGCTAAGAATCGTCCTAGTATTAAGGCCATTGTAAGTTTCCTGGAAGAAGAATGTCAGTACTTTAGTTATGAGGAAAAAATGCCACACACGAAATATGAAAAATTGTGTCAAGATTGAAAAGAAAAGAAAATTTTTTATAAAAGATAAAATTTAACGATATCTTTTATTTGTTTTTTTTATTTAAAATTGAAAATTTTTCCACACGATTCGATAAAGTTTGAGCCATTTTATTAAAAGGATAACAGATTGTATCATTGTAATATAGGCTTTACTGTATGTAGCAGGATGGCTCTGGTTTACGATTACGGGGTTGCTCTAAATCTGCCCCTATTTATCCCCTGATTTCATAATAATATCTCACCTCTCTCGGTATTTTAGACGAATCCTCTTAATCCATCAATACTCGTTTTGATTTTTTATTTTAAAACCCAAATTTGTTGACTTTAAAATGACTTAAGTTTGATAAAAAAATTTTAAGTATAAATTTTGATCGAATAATTAAACAAGGATTTATGTCGGTTTATATTCTATGTATGTTGGTTCCAATAAAAGAAAACTATAATTTAAATATATTAGTGAATAACAGGTTCGGATTAAAGTCTCGTTTAATTATTCGATATAAAATTATTACTCAAAAATCATTTCTTTGCCGACTTTAGTCCTTTTAAAACCAACAAGCCTGGTTTTTGAAGTAATAGTAGTATTCGTTTTAATCGTTATTAATATTCTTTATTATTTTTAATATGGACAATGGACTATATCTCAGTCAGCAGACGCTGCTGATTAAACAAAAAGGATTTTCCGCTATTATATTACCGTTTAAATAATCATTAGATTGTTAAAAATTACCTATTATAAAATATTATTTGAGAAAGTAAAAGCAAGCTTAAATCAAGATTTGAAGGCTTTTAAATTTGTCCCTAATTTTTCCAAAAAATTATTTCTTTCCCTTCATTTCGATTCATTTCCAATATTGTATGTTAAGCATGAAAACTAGCCATAAACAAATAAAAATAATTATTATAATATTAATTAATATGCCACTAATATATTTAACTGCCCCAATTAATGAAAATGATGTAGATATAAAATTATCTCATTCTCCTTATAAATTTAATGAAAAAATGGTTGGAACTAGTGAAAAACAGCTTTTAATTTACGGAGATATTTGTAAGTAAATATAAGGGAGAAATTTAATTAGGTATATTTAAGTACTTTCTCCCAAACAATTAAAAATGCGTAGACTTCTTCCTCCAAATATTATTGAAAGTTTGTCAAAAGAAAATAAAATAAAGGAACAAGAAAAATTAGAAGATAAAGAAATTGAAGAGGAAACAGATGAACAATTACAGCAAATACCTACAAGACATATTGCAATAAAACAAAGGCATAATAATCGTTGGATTGACAATGAAATACCTTTTTTATTTTCCCCTAAATTCTCTGAAAGACAGTTAAGTATTGAAGAAGTTCTTTTTTTTTAATTAAACTTTAATTAATTAAAGCAGCTGGGCTGTAGCTATTTCTCTCCTTTAGCTAGTGCAAAAAGTTAATCGGCGGCTGGGAGCGAACCAGCATCTTCAGTAGACCGACTAATGTGTTAGCCATTACACCACGCCGCCTTCTGCACGGCCTTAGGAATTAAATAGCTATATGCTTTACATTTACATATAATTATTAATTTATGCATGAGCTTTGTTTAACTCTCAATTAAAATTATAAAAAATAATTCTTTTAGAAAAGAAGCTATTCGTGAATCTCTTGCTGTTATAGAGGCAAACAGCTGTTTCCGTTTTATACCCCGAGATAATCAAAAAGACTTTATTTATTTTGATATGCGTGAAGTAATATATAAGATTTTTCTTTTAAATTTAAAAAAACTCTTAAAGGGTTGTTTTTCTTTTGTTGGTAAAGTTGGTGGACGTCAATTACTTTCATTGGCAGCTGGATGCCTTAATGATTATATTATTTGGTATTTTTAAAAATATTTTTATTTTATTGAATATTGAATTTATTTAAATAATTATATTAAAGGCATGAAGTTATGCATGCATTAGGTAAGTAAATTTAATTCTATCAGATGAATGTGGATTCCATTAGAATTTTAATAAAATATTTATTTAAATAATTTTTTAAATTTAAATACTTTTTTCAATTTTAATTATTTTAAAGGTTTAGAGCATGAACATCAAAGACCAGACCGTGATCGTTATATTGAAATACAATGGAAAAACGTTGAGCCTGGGAAAGAAAGTTAGAATATTAATGAGGAATTATATTAAATTTTTGGGGAATATAATATAATAACTAAAACACCTACTCAATACAAATAAAAAAAATAAATTACAATTAAAATCCCCTCTTTTTCCAGTTAATTTTGACAAAATAAAATTAACTGATGTTGATATTTACCACACTTATGATTACCATTCGCTTATGCATTATGACGGCACTGCTTTTGGAAGAATTGATAAAAGAAATAGAAAGCCAATGATGACAATGAGGCCTAAAAGGGTTTGGGAAATTTTGAGGAAATTAAAAAAATTTAATTAGGATGGAATTGTTTTACGTGACAATTTAGAATTAACAGATCTCGATATTGAAAAGCTACAAATACTTAGTGGTTGTGATTCAACAAAAAGTTGAGTGAATTATTTTTGGAATTTATTAAAAGACTAAAAAAAGGTTTTTAAAATCTGTTTTAAAATATTAATAAAAAATTTTTGGTAAGCTAAAATCTTTCTCATTTGTTACAACAATTAATTTTATAAAATAATTATAAATTTTATTTACAGAACAAAAATTTCGCCCAAAAGTTGGTGCAATTGATTCTAATGATTTGGGTAATTCATGTGGCGACCGTTCATTAAATTGCCAATCTTTGGCTCAAAGAGGGTTTTGTGCGGAAATACGTTACCAAAGGCTTATTAAAATTCAATGTCAACAAACTTGTGGATTCTGTACTTCGATTTTATTATCTGAGACAAATCAACAAATAGAAATAAATGGGAAGGAGGTGAGTTATTACCTAGATAAATAATATTTTTATAACTAGGTTAATTCCAAAAAATCAACTAATAAATAACTAAATTACAGAAAGAAAATTCAAATACTACAAATGCCGAAATTTTGCCTTCAAACAATCCAAATCAAAAACAAAAAGATAATAATAATGTAGATCCTCACTATACACGTTGGAGTTTTCCGGAAGAAAGGAAGAAAAATTAAAAAGAAAAACTTGAAATTAAATAGTATACTATTATAAATTTTGATTAGTATTTTTCCTTTTCTGGGAGAATTGAAAAAAAAATTTACAAAAAATTCAATGTCAAATACATAAGATATATTTAAATAATAAAAAAAATGATAATCTTATTTTATGGTAATGCTAATTCCGTTAAAATAATTCTAGCATTATTCGTTATATTTAGGAAATCAATCTCTAAATTTACAAAGCCTTAGTGTATTAGCTTTAGTATAAGTTTTAGGAAGCAAATATGACTTTTCAAAACAAAATATTTTTATACTTTTATTTTACTTTAATAGATAAAATAAATAAAAATTGACTTAAGTTTTTCTTCTTTCTTGACCACACTTCCTTTCTCATTAATATTTCAAGATAACAATGTAAATATTATTGTCATGATAATAGCCTGTTAATTAAAAATTATTTTGAATTTTAGTTATTCTTTGAAATCTTAAAAAATTACATCCGTGTCGGCTGGTTGGCGAAAAAATATCGCCAGTTGCAGAGGACTGCCAATGTAGACCTTGAGTTTGACCAGTAATTATTGCCTTTAAAAATATTTTTTAAGCAATTAAAAATTTAAAAATTATTTTTCTTAAAGAAACTTACCGCATGCACAAACCAATAGCCTGAATAACGCGCAGATTTGATCTAAGATATAAACAAAATATTTTAAAATGTAAATTAGATTAATTATAATCACAAAGAAAAACTTGAGGTTTATTTTAGTTCGTAACGTAATGCTAATTCACTTCATAAAGAATTTACTAATAAAGGGGGTTATAGGGATAGGGATACACGATTGTCGTGCCACAATAAACTGATAACATTACAGATTAGGCGAAGTAACGCTTTAAAGTAAAAAAAAAGAAAAAAAATGAACCGAGAAATGGACGAGAATATCGGTATCGGGTTCGAGAACGAGAATGAAAAAACCGAGACCGATATTGGAAAAAAGCCGAGAATCACGGTATCGGTCTCGTCTTGATCAACTCTACTTTAAACTGTTAATGCAACAAAATGATTAAAGATATGCATTGATTGTTTACAAATCAGGTATTTGGAAATAAACTTATACCGTTATATGCGGGGATAAAACAGCGAATATTCAAAAATACACAAAGTACTCTTAAATAATAAACTAGTTAATTTACCCGATCTAAAATATAATTAGAAAGCTGTCCCATATTTTGAGGATAATAATAAAGTCCATTATTAATATATGTAGCTAAATTGTTATCATAACAATATGCACCATTAACTATATTTTCTGAAGCTTTTTTAGATTTTTGTAATATTAAATCCTTTCCAGCATTTTCATTTTCCTCATTTTTCAGAGAAAATTCTGGTCTATCATTATCCTTTATAGGAATGGCAAAAGTAGTTGAATAAATTGTAAAAGCGATAAATGAAAAGAAAATGAAAGACTTCATTTTTATTTAAAATTATTTAAATTCTAAAATAAATTTATTTAAGTAAATAAAAAATAATTTAAAAAAATTTAAAATTTTAAAAGAAATTTTCATTGTAGTATTGCCTAATAAATAAAAATAATTTACATCCTCCTAATTTTGTTTTTTATTTATTAATAGTTAACTTTAGGGTTGAATTTTTTAACTTATAAAAAATTTTATCGTGTTCTAATTCCTACAGAAAATGCACAATTGAAAAATTGTTTTCAAAAATTTTTAAAAATATTTCTCAAATATTGTTTATTTATATTTATTTATTTAGCAGTAAACAAACAAAATATTTCTTAATTTTATCATAAATTTGTGCACAGAAAAAAATGATAAGAACAACATCCTTTTAAAATATTATGTGACTCACATAATTGTTTGCTAAAAAGTAAAATTAACTATTCTTATCAAAATTCTAATACTTATTGAAATTATTAACGCCCTAAAAATTATTTAAAATTAAAATATTTTTTTATTTCAAAGAATTTCGAATTAATCTACTGAAGTTAAAATTCAATTTTTACATTTTTATCAGTTATAAAGAAAAAATAATTTTAAAAAATTTGGTAACACCATAACACATAATTTTTAGTTAATATTTTCTTATATTTTGATTGACAGAATATATATGACTTCTGAACTTTCATCACCAAGATTTTTTGGAATATCTTTTTCATATTTTTGGTTTAGTCTTCAATAAAAAAACGGAATTTTCGTCTCGAACCTTGACTCTTAGCTCGCCGCAATCATTAAAATTTTGTTATTTAATAAATATAAAATGATTTTTATAAGGAATAAAAGTTTAAAAATTCAAATTATTAATAATCCAAAATGGATGATTAATTAAATTAATATAATTTGTTTTATAAATCAATTTTATTTGGGTGTGATTTATTTTTGGGAAACATAGTTACCATGGGTGGCGTTAGTCTTTTGTCTAGTATCTCGTGAAATCTCGTTATCGTATTTTTTGAGAATTTCGTATCTCGTGAATCTGTTTTTACAACATTGTGTAAATTATTTAAAGGAATTTATTTTATTTAGATTTTTGTGGATAGATTTATTTAAATGCTATCCCCAATCTTTCCAAATCTATTAATATTTCCTTTAATCCCTTAAAATCCGACAATATTTCATTAACCATTTCATATACTTGATTCTTTAAACTAATTCCTTTTTATTTCTCGATTTTTTTGTTTCCATAAATTAAACATATCTCAAAAATCATTCTTAATGTAAACTGCTTTATACAGCGACATTAAAAAGTCTTTACATTAATTCCAAAATTAAAAATAATCAAAATATTTTAGGAAAAAATTGGCAAAGTTTATTTTATAAAATTAAAAATAATCAAGAAAAAAACAAATTTTCTGGCTTAAAAATAATTAGAAAAATGTGAAAGCAAAAGAAATAGTTAATTGAAAATATAGGAATGAGATGAAAATAATAATAGTATTTAGGTTTAGGGAAAAATTTTTAGAAAACATTAAGAGATTTTTTTTGTAAATAAAAATCAAAACTTAATTATTTATATCAAAATAAACTTTAAAAGTTTTGGTCATTTTTTAAATTTAATATAGGTATTTACAAAAATTTGAAAAAAAATCAAAAATATTAAAAAAAAAGAAGATTCAATAAATGATTTTTAAATTGATAATTTAGTAAATTTTGATCAGACGCATTTATTCCAGGCATTGACTCGGATTAACAGACGTTCAATTTATTATTATTCAATTAATTAATTTGTCTCTCCGTAAAAAATGCTGAAATTATTTTAAAGCCTGAAGAAATATTGGAGAAAAAATTTTGTGAGATATATAGAAATGTCCATAATTGGATAAATAAATAATTTGAAATTATGTTTTTACACAATTATTCTTCAAAAATCAAAAAAATTATTTAATGTGCAATATATGGCGGCGGCATCCTTTGACCGACAGGTGTTGGATGTTGATGGAAACGGACAGAATGTTGATGTGGATGTTCTCTCTGGAATGTAGAGGGAAGTGTTGGATGTGCCCTTTGAGGGGTTGGAGAGGCGTCAATGGCACGAAGTGCGCCAGGAGGGCTGAATGTACTGACCATCTGTGGAGGTGGAGGGCTTTTTTGTTGTTGAGAAATATATTGACGGCCAGGGCTTCCACCATCTATTTAAAAATAAAATTTAAATTATTTTTTTAAATAAAATAAAATTTAAATTATTTTTTTTAAATATTAATATAAAATTGAAATAACTACTAATTTTGGACTTAAACTAAAGAGAGAGAATTTGACAATAACATAAAAACTTACTCAATGGACTCATTTCATGTTGCTGTTTTTGTGCATGTCCATTAGTTATTCCATTTAAATTAGAAGTTCCATTTCTGGTTAATTGTGCTTGTAATTGTGGAGGTGGACGATAAAGTGGATTTTCATGCATAGTCATTTTATTTGGATCTAGAGGGGGCTGTTCACGTTCCATAAGCATTGGGGTTGTTACTGTAGCTAGAGAACCATCAGCAGAACTTCCCTCATCTCTATGTGGAACTTCATCAGGGAAAACAACTGGGCGGCCTTTAAATTTAAATAAATTATTATAAATTAGGAGCAAAATAATGAGAAAAATAGGCAAAACCTTTAGTTGTATATTCATTTCTTCTATTTATTCTAGCTCCCTTTTTTCCTCTTCTATGATGAGCACAACACAACAAAACCAAAACCGTTATTAACAACAAAATTGTTGCAATCAAAATTAAAGGGATTAATAATGTTTGTGTCCAACCACTAAAAACACTTCCAATTCCTTCCTCTACAGCTAAAGTATTTCGTTGTGTTGTTGTATAAACACGTACACGCATAGAGTCAAGCATGTGTTGAGCTAAACATTTACCCAAAAGTTCGAGAGTGACCTGAAATTTAAATTTATTGAATATTTGATTAGGTAAGGTATTTTGTAACGGTGGTGGAGATAGGAGTTTGGGGAGATGAATTTTCTGATAACCTTAAGCTTAAATGTACAGGGTGTTTCAACTAAGAAGCACCTGTATTGACTCAACATCCCTCAAGTAACCGATTTAGTTTTATAAACGATATACCTAAACTGTACTTAATTTTAGGGACCATACTTAGAGGATAAGGCAAAAATTACTGATATAATAATAATAACGATAAAATAATAATAAGTAATAATAATAAAATAATAATCAAAACAACGATAAAACAATTTAAATAAAATAATTTCTTTTATTTTACAGAAATTTCTTTTAAATTTTACCTTCCTAACATGAAATTGAGCACCCATTTGTTTAGCAAATTCATGTCGGACTTTTTCTACTCCAGTATGATGATGTTGATGTACCATACGTTCTTTAGTTGAATTAATTCTTTTTTCGTCACATTGTGTTCTACTAACTGTTGCATCCCACCATTGCAATAATGTTTGGTCAGATCCATTATCTGTTATTCGGTCAATATAAATTTCTGTGGCTGCTTCTATTCTTTCTGGTGTTTGCAAAAATGTTGGTGAAGATGCTTAAAATAAAATTTTTGAAAAAATAAAATTTTTGAATAAAATATTTAGAATTAAAACATTCTCTATGTCCAAAAAAAATTTCTTCCAATTTTAGAATTAAAAATTAGAATTAAAAAATTATCTCTACGCCCCGAAATTTTTAAATGTTTTTTAAAATTTTTGTACAATTTAAAATTTTCAAACCAGATGGAAGAGGAAAACGTTTAAGAATTCCACTCAATCTATAGACAAAATCACGAAGCATTTCTGGCTTTGAATGAAATCTTTCTACAGGAACATCCAAAACCATTGAGTAACGATGGTTAGGCTTAGGCCCATCAAGTGGCGGACGAGAAACAAAAACTTCAAATGGTGCTGATTGTGCCTAAATAAATTTTTGAATTAAAATTTTATAAAAATTTTAAATTATTTTAAGTAGCTCCCAATAATGATTAAAAGAATCAAAATAGAAATTAAAATTAAATGACGGTTGAATTTTTAAGTCGGGATAGAACTGAGATGAATACTAAATTTAAGTTCATAACTAGGTATATACTTCACATTACTATATTTTCTCCAATTGACGGCCATCTTCATTAAAGCCCCCTTGTGGAAGGGATTGAAAAATAAAGTGACCGGCCACACAATCAAAATAAATTTTATTATTAAACTTACAGCGTTTTGGCTATCTCTAGCTTCCAATCTAAAAGTAAATTCCTCCTCCTCTTTAGCTGATGCTTCTCCAAATTCCCCGGTAACAGGAACACCTTCTAAAATATTTTGACCAGGAATTACGACCAAAAAATTGTTAGAATTATTATTTTCAATTGAATGAACACTAAGAGAAAGTTTTGAAGTATGTCCATCTTCGGGATCAAGAAATGTATTTTCATCAATAGGTAAACGACAAAGAATTCCACGAGAGCAATGAAAACTAAAAAATTAAATAATATTTTTTATTTTGGAAGAAAAACCTTTTAATTGGGTTAATTAAAATAGGCTTTTCATTTATTTCATTTAATGGTTGGTGAATTCTTCTCGTTGTTCTGGTAGTTGCACTTGTAGTTGTCTGGATTTGTGTTGTTGTAGGTATAAAAGGTCTGTCTTTACGAAGTTCACCCTCAACAACCTAATAATAGAGAAAAAATTAAATTAAATAAAAACATCCTCCTATTGTTATTTTAATTTTTAATGGGTCGTAAGTAAAAGATTATTGTCCCAATAAGTTTTTTAAATTTTTTTAAAATTTTTATTAGGTGGAGGATCATTTAAAAATATCTAATAACACCGGACCAAAGAAAAGATTAATTATTTGTATTATTTTAAAAATTTTGAGCATTCTTTCATTTGAGAATTACATCGCTTCTTCAATTTAATAATTTTTTACGAGTTCGCATTACACAGATTTTTAATTTTCAAGGATTTAACAATTATAAATGTTATAGATTAAAGGAAGTTAAAAATATAAAAGCTAAAATATTCCTAATTTAAACCACCTGAAAAGGCAATACATCAGCCACTTCATTAATAATATCAGCAGCTTGGTCATCAATTTCCCCACAACTAATATTTAAAGCTATAACAACACCATTATTATCATAATTATTTATATTAGAAGCTAATTCATATAAAGTTTTTGTCACTATTCTATAACGTTCCAAATAAGATCTCGGAAAGATTCGGACATCACTCATTCGTAATTGTGTATTTTTAAGCATTGAAAGTAATGTTTTGACTGTTTGGCTTAAAAATATTTTTGGTAAAATTATTTTTACCGTATATCCTTTAATAACTACCCTGGGTAATTATTGTTTCGACCTTCCCTGGAGGGAGTAATTAATAGAAGGAGGGTAATTATATGAGGTTTTAGATTTGAACGTGTTTTAGGGCATTTGTTGGGGGGTAATTATTGTTTCAACCTCTCGCTAGACGGAGTAACTAATAGAGGTGGGGTAATTATTTGAGGGAGGGCAATTAATACAGGTTATACGGTAAATAGAAAACAAACAATTGTTCTTGAATTGAAATTTTATTTAATAGTCGAGGATCCATAATTTCAAGCCAATAAGTTGAACTATCTTTACCACAAATGTTATCCTCTTCCTCATAAACTTTAACTTCAATGAGCGAATCTACACAATAATAAATTAAATGTTTAAATTTTTTAAAGTTAAAATTATCGGCATAATTAATTTACAAAAAAAAACAATGGAAAATAGATAAATGATCTCTTAACTGGGATTAAGTGTAAATATTTTAATAATGTATTTAGAAAAATCCCTTATTTTACAGTCCATTTCATAATTATTCAATATATAATTCAATATATAATCTAATCTCTAATTTAAATTTAAATTAAAGAAGGTCTCCATACCATGTATAAGAATATGTTCCAACCCAACATTAGACAATTGAGGAATTCCATAAAGCAATTTGGCACTAGAATTAAATTTACACCATCCAGGAAGTCTTTCAATATCGATATGATGCCCTTCTGCAATAGCAAAAGTAAAAGGCCTTCCAACAGGAGCATCTAATTGAGGAAATCTGTGAACACCTCCAGCAATAATTAATAAAGAAGATCGACATAAAATTAATAAAAGAATTAGAAGGGAAGCTGCTGAATTTATTTTTTTGTTTGGTGAAGAATTTGTGTGGTGATGAATATGGCAGTTTTTAAACATTTTTTAAAATTTAAATTGGCAAGTTAATAATTATAACGAAGAAAACCCTCAAAAAATATTTTTTTTCTTTTTAAATTTTGATGTTTATTTTAAAGTCAATAAATAAATAGTTATTTTTAGAATATGCAAGTTGTTAAAATTATTTTTGGTGTTAATTTGGTATTATCTTAAATAAAATCCTTCTCTATAAGCTGAATAAAGTCTATAAATTTAAAAAAATTAATAAAGATAAGAATTAAGTTTAAAAACTAAAGAGATTATGTAAAGGATGGGTGGATCTTGGCAAATCTTCGGATATCCGAATCAGAAACAGATATCTGAACCGAAAATTTCGGATATCCAGACATTTTCAGTTCCGAATTTTAAAAATCCTAATTAACCCTAATTACTAATAATATTTTATTAAAATTTAATAGGAAATAATTACAAATTCGAAAAATAAATATATGTAGTCTGCAAAATATTAATGACAGAAATTTATTTAATTTTTAAGAAAAATTCAATCTAAATTATTTCTAATCACAATCAAAGTTAACAAAATAATACTTTTTTACAAAATTTTTATTAAAAAATAAAAATGAACGTTTAAAAGGAGTGGTTTAAATACATTAAAAGCTTGATAAATATATTATTGTTTGTTTTGCCTGTAAAATTGAGGAAATAATCCATCAATTGTTTGGGTAACATAAAATAAACTTTATTTATTTATATCTATATTTTCGGATCTTTTTTTAAAAATTATTTATTTATTTTTGTATTTTTCCGAATATTTAATGCTTTATAGTAAAGGAAAAGAATTATTATTTATTTTTAAAGGAAAGCAATTGAGAGAAAGTGTTCGAATGAAAAATAATAAATATATTTATGAGTTTGTTTGGAAAAAAGAGAAGAAGAAAAAATATAGTAAAAGTTAAAATATTTTAAAATTTTAATTTTGAATTTGGAAAAATTTATATTTTAATTACTTTCCAACTTAATGGATCAAGGAAAAGAATTACAAGGAAAAGAATTAGGAAAAGAATTAAGGAAAAGAATCAAGGAAAAGAATTACTCGTTAAAAAGTTATTACCCGAAAATCTGAAAAACACCGAATAACTGGATTTATTGTGTTATAACTTCTAAATGAGTGATCAGACGTGATCTATGCTATAGAAAAAAGATACCGCTTATCGAGGGCGTTTGAATGATATAAGATTTATTTGAATTGTATCAAGCTCAAAAAAGTTATAGCCAATCAATGTCGGATGACATTCAGTTTGTGGGCTTATGACCGATAAGTACCAAAAAAACAGAAATTATTTGTTTAAAATTTTTAATAAAATTTGTGATAATAACATCTTAATCTTCATTTTAATAAAAGTAATTTTAATATTTAAAATTCTTTTTAAATAATATCTCAAAAATTTTTGTTTTGAATATTTTTTTAATTATTAAATAGTTAATGATAATAATTTTTATTTAGCTATAATAAAAATAAATTCATAACTACTGATAAGAAAATAGTAGAAACAAATAAATATTTCTGTTTTATTATAGTCTTATTATTTTTACAATAAATTATAATTGAAGGGAAATTTTTAATTGATAATAATTCAATAAATATTTCAAAAAATTATTATTATTAACAAGTTTTGAGGAAAAATTTTTTGTTTAACTTATTTAAAGGATAAATTAACAATTTTGGAGACGATTGGGATTTGCTTCAAAAATAAAATGAATATACGATAGAAAAAATGGCTATGCTTAGGGTTTTGAGACATTGAAAGAATAATTTTAAAAAATTATACAAAGGCCATTCGTTTGGAAGCAAAAAATTTGCTCGATGACATTTCGCGTTTAAAAAAAGGTAGGGCACCTGTCTGACTTCAACCATTAGTTGGCAACAGAAAAAACGAGGAATGTAAAGTGGGGGAAATGGACGAACTGTAAAAAATAGGAAGAGGAACTGTAAAAACAAAAAAACTCGGTTAGCGTCCGTCCATCTCCCCACATATTTTTTGCCCCGATTTAATTTTTTGCTCAAAAATTGCTTTTTGCGTCCTTCACCTTTATACAACACAACATTCAGTACTTTCTAATATAAGCATTCCATCATCTTCCTTCCTTATCGGCCTCATCCGTCTTTTTCTTTTTAATCGGCCTATGGACACCGATTATTTATTTATTTTTACCTTCAATATTTATGCTTATGCCAATCGAAGTGGAGAAAAAAAATAATTTGTGAGCGGCGAAAATTAATGAGAGAAAAAATAGGGGAAATGATAGATTGGAAAGTGCGATTTGAATGTTTTCTAATCATTAATTGACGTTAATAATAATAAAAAAGAATCATTAAGGGCAAATCTCAAAGGATTTAAAAGTGTTCTTTTAAAATAAAAATCAGTGAGAACCCCACATCAAATTATGGGAGAAGCAAAAAAGAAATCCGTCAATCAATCAGTTGGGAATCCAAGCGGAAATGAAAATGGAAAAGAGAGAATATGCGGAAATTGGTTAATTGTTTTTGTATGGTTATTTAAATTATTATGAAATTTAAGAATAAAATTTACAACATTTTGTGTAAGGCAAGTATTGATGAAAAGCTTAATTAAAGTACAAAATGTTAGGTTTCATAAAATGAAGAATAGAACTTTTCTTGATCAGAGTCTTAATCTTGATTTTGATGTAAACGAAAACTTTTGGATTTCAGACCCCGAAAACGTACTTTAATTAAACAAAAAACTAAATATAATTTCTGTAATACTAAGTTTGACTTTCATTTAAATTACGAAACGAGCCCAGGATAAAAGTCACTAAATATTAACGTGGTCGTTAATATCGAGAATGTTTTCAAACTTGCATTAAATTTAAAAAATACATATAAAAATTAAAAATATGCATGAATATAACCGTTTTTTTTAGATAATAGAAAATTTTTTTAAAAAACGCAATGAATATATTCAACCTAAAAATCAAAAAATAGCCTGAGGGGAGAAAAATAAAAAAATATGCGCAAGGAACACAAATAAAAAGATTAAATTAAGTAAATCTTTCAACAAATAAAAGAACAAAACAGTAACTATTTATTTATTTAGGTTTCCCGTTGAGAAGACAAATAATAATGAAAAGTGGCTTGCATGGATTTATTGCTCATTCAAGGAGGGATGGGGGTAAGGGGGGGAGAAGCTAAGGAAAATAAAGGGGATAAGGTGAAGATAAATGTTATTATGGAAAGGCAGATTTTTGAATAAAAAAAGAGCGGATTTGGCCGTCACTTTTATTATTATTCTTCTTCTTCTTCCTCCGTTTTTTTTCTTCATTTGGTTACTCCCCTTGCGTTTTTCTCATTCCCAGCCTTGCTGCTATGTTTTTTGCCTTTTTTCCCTCAGAACAACCCTTATTTTCCCCCTCATCAGCATGGACAGTGACTTGAAGCATAAGGGAAAGGGTCACAATGAAATAGGAAGGGGATAGGGAAGAATGTTGTCAACGCCAAATCGTTGCAGAAAAGCAACGCGAAAATTATGTAAAAAATGGATTTTGTGTTTTTGTTGTTGTTATTGTTAAGGATGGGACAGAAAATGATTGTTATGGGTGAAGGGGGAACAACAAGGAAGAGTACAAACACAGAAAATTTAGGGAAGAAGAGGCCATGTGTGTGGGCGCCCAAGCTCTTCTTCTTCCTCAGCTCGTTAAAAATGCCGATTTAAAGGGGCAGGTGCTTTTTCCTAAAAATAGTCATTAGCACGGGGGAAGGATGAGAGAAAATTTAGGAAGATTTACATAAATGTACTTATAAATATTTGGAAATGAAAGTGATGCTACTATAAATAAATAATAGTACAATCAACGATTATTTAAATTGAATAACGGTTAAAATTAAAAATGCAAATTATTTTTTATAAATCAAAAAATACATACATATACATATTTAATATTTGAGAAAATTAAATATTGTAAATACTCTAATTGAAGCCCTGGGCTTATATTTTTCAATGGGTCTCCTCAGATGGGCTTGAATTAGAGGTGGGGTTCTACAAGAGACAGGGCTTCTATTAGAGTATTTACAATAATTAATTAATAAAAATAAAAATATTGAGTGATTATTGATAATACTTTCAAAAAATTGGTCAATATGATAAGAAAAATAAATAAACAAAAATATAAAAAATAAAATAAAAAATATTAATCAAGGACAATAATCAAAGTAGCGGAACATTACAAAAAACATTTATTTGATGTGCAATTAATTAATTATTATTTTTCTTGGTAGAATTGCCTTAAACTAAAATATAATTAATAATATTTTTTAATTAACGTCAAAAAGGAGGCCATTAAATTCCAAACTTAAAATTCCTATCAAATTATTAGATGTTTAATCAAAGCTTTGATTACAAAAATAAATTAGCTTTTTAAACTTCTGCAGCTGTGTATAATTACAAAAAGCTTTACAAAAATGTTAAAACAAAAATAAAATAAATAAATATTTGCATTTACTTTTAAAGTAAAATGCAGCTGGTAAATGTAAAAAGCTCTAAATAATAATTCTTTTTGTTTAAAAGAAAAATGATCAGGTAGCACCGACTGACCCAGACAAGTTAACATGAGAAAGTAAAGGTTGAGGACTTTAAAATTAAGTGAAGGAGGGACGGGAGGGGGGGGGGGGGAGGAGAATTAAAATAAAGAGAAACAAATTTTTGTTTAAACAAAAAAAGATAATAAAATAAAGGTAAATTTAGTTAAAAGTGTCGACAAAATTTTTGTTTTAATTTTACCGCTTAGCTTTTTGGGAAATGTGTTAAAGAACGGTTTTTGTTATTTTTAGGGAAATTTAAAGCATTTTTATTTGTTTTGTACATATCTGGGAAATTCGAGAAGGCGAAAACATTAACACATGAAAATATGAAAGAAAAGAAATTTTGTTTTTGGCTTATTTTTCTGTTAATTTTTACTTTATACTTTTTAGGGAAAGATTTACTAAAATTCTTAATTTTTTGTTTAATTAAATATGCAATCTGAATAGGGGTATCGGTTCCAAACCGAATCGAACAGAAAAACCGAAGATTTTCGGTTAGGTTTGTTAGTTGATCTCTAGTTCTAAAAATTTTAAGTAAATTTCGATTTGATTTATAAATATTACTGAATAAAGAAAATAAATTCAAAATTAAAATAAACCTTTAAAGAAAAAATCTTTAAATTAATTTTCAAAAAACATTTATATTTTTATTTATTGTTCTCATGTCCTTTTCTTTCAAAAATTTATGCGCAATAAACGTTGCAGTTTAAATTTCAAAAATTGCAACCTGTTGTGAGAAAAGTTCAAAAGTTAGGCGTGCGAATTTTTTTTCATTATTTTTTAAATTTTTATTTAAATTTTTGGTTGTTTTTTGTTTTTATTCACAAAATATATTTGTCGGGGGATACTAAATAATTTCTATAAATAAATTCTAAAAACTGTTACTAATCAGTCAAAATGATTATAACCATTTTATTATTTAACGGATTTATGAAGAAAAACATTTTTTAAATACTTAAAATTTTAAATAAAATAAATTTAAAGCTTAAAGGTAAAAATGTTTTCACAACAAAATTGATAGAAATAAAGAGAAAATGGTCGGGTTTGCGCGCATTGGGAAAAGCAATAAAACTTTTTTTCTCCCAATTCTTTATATTCTCAAACAAATATCCGTGAAATAAATTTAAAAATAATTGTTGAATAGAGAAGAAAATTGTTAGTTTTGATAGAGAAGGGTATTGGGTATTCAATGTAGCTAACCACACCCAAATAAAATTTTTTAGAAGTAAAGAAAAACTAAAAAAATAATTTGGAAAACAAAAATTTACTTAAATGATATCCCATTATAATCATCCAATCCTTTTAACTTTTAATGTGAAAAAAGGGAAGAATTAGCTAATTATTAAAAATTGTTTTTTTGTTAATCTTAGAAATTTTATAAAATTAATTGCCTTCTTTTATTTGCATTTTTACAGGTCATTTATTGCGCTTTATAGCAATTTATTGAGGCTTTCTTATAACTAGATATTGTTAATGTCAGTCTTATAACTTTAACTCTTTTTGAATTTATAAATTTTTGTAAAATAAATTAGATAGTATTTTTATAATTATTAGAATAATTACAGTCGAGTCTCTTCAACACATCCCTCTCGGGGCATAACTTAGCTGCCATAAGTAAGGTGTCCATAACAAGGAATTTTATAACAAATTAAATTATTAAAATTATTAGGAAATATTTTTGAAATAGCTGACTTATTTCATATAAAAGCGGACAAATATAATTAATGTAATTATTTAATTAAATATTTAAAATGATAAGATTAAAGATTAATTAATTAAAAAAGAATTTTTACGATCAACCAGAACAGAGATTTTTTACTTTTTTGTAAAAGTGTGAATACAAAAAAGAAAAAAGGAATAAATATAGTAAAGCTTATATTCATAGTAAAAGATCGGCGATTTAATGGAATGCTTTTATTTACTAATTGTGTTTGTGTTAAAATAAAGAAATACCATTTTTATTTATTTTTGTAAAAACTCGGTTAAGCTGTTGCAGCTAAGCTGCCGCGCTTTTTTAGAAAAATAAAATAAAGTTGTTTGGCCAATTCTTTTTTTGTTTTTAAAAACTATTAAGGCTTTGATCTTCATCAAAGAACAGAAAAAAGTTTCTAATAAAAATGTTTGTACAAAAGATTAGAAAAATAATTAAAAGAAAAATAAAATGAAACATTAATTTTAATTAAACAATAAAATTTGAAAACAAAAACCAAAGAAATATATTTAATATAAATTTGCTACTTAAGAAAAACCCCAAAAATAAAAATAATAAGCTGGAGTTTGAAATTATATAAGCAGAGTAAAAGATGTTATTTTTAATTTTTTTTCATATTTTAAAATAATAAACCTAAATTTTAAGAATCAAAATACAATATTAAAATATTCAAAAGAAAAAGTAATAATATGCTTTGGCCAGAGTCGAATGATCTCTCAAAAGCGAGAAAATATTGAGAAAAGCGGCGATAATAAAAATATCAAAAATTAATTCAAAAGTTGTGAATTAAAGTAACGGAGAAAATACTAAACATCAAAGAATATATTTTTACGAAAAATAATTTTTTGTCGCAAATTTGTGTGTATATTGATGAAAGATTTTTTTAAACCATGCAGGTGTGAAGAATAAAAAATAAATAATTATTTGGGATTAAATAAAAAATATGTTACAATTCAAAAATAAAATATCTGACTCAGCAGGTAATAACGATGATTAATAAAATATTTAAAAAAAAAAGTAAAAAATTTAGCCAAAAAAGGGAAGGTCAAAAAATGATTGGAATGTGAATAGAACCTCCCAAAAAATTTAAAAGAAAAGTTTATTTTAAATATAAAGCAGACAACATTTTACTGTCCAAAAATAAAACAAAAAATTTGGCAAGTAAAAAAAGACTAGGTAAATTTTGGGGTGATGATTTGCTTGTTATTTGGTTATTTTGATGATTCAGTTTATAAAATATTATTTTTTTGGAAGAAAATTTATTTTTATAATATTGTTACATATAAATAAAATAAAAAATGAATAAAAATTAATAATTAAATGAATCCTGACAATTTTTGAATATTTGAGAATTTTTTTAAATAAATTATATTTAAATTAAATAATAAATCAAAATAATTTATTTCTTAAAAAGGTCAAAAAGTTCTCAGTAAATCCTTTAAGTAAACAAATTTTAGTTTTGAATGTTTGTTTTGGATTTAAAAATATTTGTTTGTTAATGTTTCTTATTTGATTAAATAAAAGATTTATTAAAGTCTGTCAAATTATTTTATAAAAATTAAATAAAATTAATTTTAATATAAATCTTTCAAATTTTAGCTAAATACCTTAAATTCTAAAATAATTACCCAAGGTAAATATTGTTTCAACCTCTCGCTGGGGGGAGTACTTAAAAGGCGGGGGTAATTATTTGAGAGAGGGACATTATTTCAGCATTTACTGCATTTGTTTTTCCAAATTTACATTACAAATTTTTTTGATAGGAATTTTATTAAAAAAAGAATTTTTAGATTAAAAATTTGAAAAAATTTTAATCTTAGCTCTTTGCTTTTTTAAAAAAATAGCTTTTATCTTTTTGCAGCAATACACAAATATTTTTATTTTAGTCCCAAACATTTTTTTAAAATATAGGTCAAGTTAAAAACAAGGAAAAACTGAAAAAATGAAGCGGGAAAAAAAACAAAAAAAAGATGTTAATTTTAGATAAGCTTTGGAAAAGATAAACAAAAAAATTGTTTTGAGTGGATGTTGATGAAAAGAATGTGTGGACGAGAAAAATTTTTTAATTTATTTTTATATTGGCTAATCAAAAAAGGGAAATGATGAATTAAAGCTAATAATTTTTAGAAATTTTATATGTTATATTTCACTTAATAAGTTAAGTAAATTAATAGTCAGAAAAATTTTTGCAATTTAAAGAAAGGAAAATATATGTATGGTGATGCAAAAATTTTAAGTAAAAAAGCAAGGTATTGACTTAAGTAAGTAAAATTTTTAACAGCTTTT